TGCTGTTTAAATCCAAGTTTTTCTCTGCTAATTTTATGTCTAGAGAATCTGTCCATTGCTGAGAGTGGTGTGTTAAAGTCCCTAACTATTATTGTGTTGGGGTCTATTTCTCCCTTTAGATCCAGTAACAGTTGCTTTATTTATCTGGCTGCAATGATGTTGGGTGCATATATATTTATAATTGTTACATCTTCTTGCTCAATTGATTATATAATGTCCTTCTTTATCTCTCTTTATAGTTCTTTGTTTGAAGTCTTTTTTGTGTGGTATAAATATGGTGATTCCTGCTTGTTTCTGATTTCCTTTTGTGTGGAATATCTTTTTTTTTTCCTTTTTGTCTTTTTTCGTGACCAGTAATGGGATCGCAACCCTCGGTGTTGCGCTCGTACCGCGACCGGCAACGGGATCGCAACCCTCGGTGTCGTGCCCGCACCGCGCTCAACCAGTGAGCGGACCAGTCTCTATATGGGATCCAAACCCTCAGTGGGAGCGCCACCGCTCTCCCAAGCACCGCACTCTACCGAATGCGCCACCGGGCCGGCCCTGGAATATCTTTATCTATCCCTTCACTATTAGTTTGTGTGTGTCTTTATTGGTGAAATGAGTTTCTTGAAGGCAGTATATAGTTGGGTCTAGTTTTTTAATCCTTCCAGCCACTCTATATCTTCTAATTGGGGAATTTAATCCATTTACATTCAGGGTTGTTATTGAAAGTTACTGCACTGTTTCTGCCATTTCATTATTTTATTATGGTTGTTTTATATTTCTTTTGTTGCTTTCTTTCTTTTTTATTGTTTGTCTTTGCTGTTTGGTGATTTTTTTTTTTTTTGTGGTGATAAGATACATTTTCTCTCTCTTTTGCATTTCTGTCCTACTAGTGGTTTTTAAAATTCTTTCTCATGTAGTTATGGTGATGCAGGACTCCCTTGAGGATTTGTTCAAAGGCCGTTCTTGTGGTGGTAAATCCCCCCAGCTTTGATTTGTATGAGAATGATACTATTTCTCCTTCATTTTGGAAGAAAAGCTTTGCTGGATATAGTATCCTTGGTTGGCAGTATGTTTCTTTTAGAACTTTGAATATGTCATCACATGCTCTCCTGTAGGATTTCTGTTGAGAACTCTGCTGTTAGCCTCATGGGCATTCCCTTAAAGGTGATTTGATGCTTTTCTCTTGCTGTTTTTAGAATTCTTTCTTTGTGTTAGATTTTTGACAGTTTGACTACAGTATGTCTAGGGGAGATCCTTTTGGTGTTGAATGTGTTTGGGCATCTTTGAGCTTCTTGGATCTGTGGGACCATATCTCTCTCAATACCTGGGAAGTTTTTGGCTATTATGACATTACTTTTTCAATGC